CTACCTTCTTTAAGTAATCCCTAGCCTACTTTTCTGCTACTCTGGCTGTTTGCCTCCTTCCCCATCTTAGGTGCCAACTGCACTTGCCATCTGATAGCTGACTTGGCTCATGATGACTGAAGTAAAAAGGTGCTAAATACTCCAGCCTTCTCTGCAACATCCATAACTAGATCACTGCCTTGTGCATTCACTAAGGTGCCTAAACTTTCTTTGGTCTTTTTCTTACTTCTGACTCTTGTGTTATTGCCATTTACATCCCTTACTAGCTGTATCTTAAATCATGCCTTGGCTATTCTGATTTTTTTTCTCCCTGTGCCCATGCAATACTTTTACGCTCTTTCCTAGTAATATTACCAAGTTTCCACATTTTGTAGAAGTCCTTTTTTTAATTTTAACTTGATGAACAGATCACTGGTCATCTGTTGCACTGCCCATTTTTTCGTTGCATTGACATAACTTGCTTCAGTGCTTTCAATACAGTTTCCTTAAAGTGCAGCCAGCTCTCTGGGACTCCTGTTCTCTTCCAGGAGACCCTGTCCACCAGTTTTTCTGAGTTTGCTAAAGTCTGCTTTTTTGTTTCTTTCTTGCTTCCCCTCCCTCCCTTCTATCTTGAGCTGTCTCATTGTCACTGTCACCCCATTTACCTCCCAGCTTTCTGTTGTCAACTAATTTCTCTTTGTTTGTGATCAGGAAGAGCTTCCTTCCCTAGTTGGCCTCTCCAACACGTGTACCAAAAAGGTGATTCCAGTGCACTATAAAATTTGCTGGACTTCCTATGCATTGCCTTGTTACCATGACATCTGCTGGGAGGGAAACTGAGGTTCCTTATGAGAACGAGGTCTGGTATCTTGCAAACTTCTATTAGTAGTTTAAGCAAGATCTTGTGCACCTCTTCCTCTTGTTTTGGTAACCTATAGCAAATGCCCATCCCTGGCATTCTCTCCTCTGACCTTTACCCAGAGGCTTTCAACAGGTCTACCTCCTGCTTTGTGCTGAACCTCAGAAGATGCATGCAGTGAGTGCTCTCTTTCTTCCTTTAATAAAGGGCAACACTTCCATTCCCCATCCCACTTATTTTCCTGAACAAGTTATACCCATCCGTGACAGTATTCCGGTTGTGTGAACCATGTGTATGTTATTCCAGTTAGATCATAATTCTGTGATTATAACACGAACTACAATTCTTCTTGCTTATTTCCTGTGGTTCTTGAATTGACATAAATATTTCCAGTAACTAACAGATCTTCCTCATAACACCCTAAGAGCACTGTTAAGGTTTCTGCTATTGCTTCCCTTTATTAGGGTTTTTATCTAGGTCATCTGGCTCTTTATGTACCTCTGGGCTTTTGTTTCTATTATCTGGTGAACCTAGCTTAAAGCCTTTCACACAATGAGCACATGAAGACACTCTTCCCTGTCTTTTGTCAGGTGAATCCCATCTCTTTCCAGTAGCCCTTCTTGGAACACCACCTCATGGTTGAAAGAAGCCAAAACTTTGCTGGAAAAACAATCTACGCAGCTATATTTTAATAGATTTCATAGACATTAGGGGCTGGAAGGGACCTCATGAGATCATTGGGTCCAGCACCCCCACCATAGACAGGAAGTCAGCTGGGATCAAGTGACCCCAGCAAGACATCAATCCACCTGTTTTTTTTGAAGGAGTCCCGAGTAGGTCCCTTCACCACCTCTGGGGGGAATTTGTTCCAGACCCTGGACACACACACACACACACGCACTGTAAAGAACTTTTTTTTATGTCTAGTTTAAATCGGCCTTCCTGGAGTTTATGACAATTAGACCTTGTTATCCCTTGTGAAGCTCTGGTGAACAGGTGTTCTCCCAGGTCCTGATGTACCCTTCCTTTGTAGTTGTAGGCTGCCACCAAGTCTCCCCTGAGCCTTCTCTTCTCCACACTGAAGAGTCCCAAGTCCCTCAGCCTCTCCTTGTATGGCCTTCTTTCCAAGCCTTGCATCATATGAGTGGCTGTACTTTGGACTCTCTCAAGCTTCTCTACATCCTTCCTGAAGTGGGGGACCCAATACTGAACTCAGTACTCCAGCTGTGGTGTCACCAGGGCTGAGTAAAGCAGGAGGATGATGTCCCTGGTTTTGCTTGAGATACATTGGTGGATGCATGCCAGAGTTTGGTTAGCTTTGCCAGCCGTATTCATCAAGACCCCCAGGTCCCTTTTGGTTGTGGTGCTAACAAGCATAGCCTGTAAGTGTGCTGGGGGTTCTTCCTACCGAGGTGTAGCACCTTGCACTTTTCTGCATTGAAGGCCATCAGGTTTTGGTCGGCCCACCTTGAGAATATGTCCAAGTTGGCCTGTATCTCCAGCCTGTCCTGCGGTGTGACTGCCCTCCTCCATAATTTGGTATTGTCCGTGAACTTGGCCAGTTCACATCTGACTTCTGAATCCAGATCATTGATGAAAATGTTAAAGAGTACTGGCCTGAGTACCAAGCCCTGAGGGACTCCACTGGTAACCCTGCGCCATGCTGATTTCTGCATGTTGATCTCTAAAATGTGTCTATTTCCTACTCAGACTCTTAGCCTTGACCAGAAAGGTTGAGTATGTTACTTGGGCCCCAGTCCCCCTCACTTTTGCCCCTAGAGCTATGTAGTCACTTTTTGCTCAGGATCACCCTTGACAATGTCTTCAGAGCCCACATGAATGGGGACAGTCCCTGCAAAAACCAAACTAGGACGTGGGTAGTCAGTGGCCGCCCTGGACAGAGCCTACACAAGTGAAGTCAGAGGAAGAGCTTAACAATAGCTTTGACATTGCGAGATCTTCCAGCCAACTTACTCATTTTTTTCCTAGCCCCTTCTTCCTTTGCTGCTGCTACTTTAAAGAAAAATCCTTATTCCTCCTTCATCTGCTTACTCTCAGTAAGTTTACAATGAAGAAAGTATATGAAAGTGGCTGGGAAGATTTTCCCAGCAGACCCGCACTCAAATCCCCTGCTTGCTGGTCCTGGTGTCACTGGTTCCGGTGTCACTTGGGTTCTGGGTGACCTAGCTTTTCTGCTTAGGCAAGCCTTGTCTTCTCATTCACTTGTTAACAGCTGCTAGGCTCAGCAGCTGTGGGCCCCAAGGTACTCTGCAAAATGGCAACCAGATTGAATCTACGTTTACCAAACCCAAACCAGGCAGGCCTCCCACTCACTAGCTCTTTGAGATTCTAACCCAGGGATTCTCAACCAGGGTCCCACAGTATGCTGATGTGCTCTGAAATCCTTTCAGGGGTGCTGCAGGATGCCATGCAATATTAACACTGTTAGGTGCTTAAACATGATTTGCAAGATAAACCCAATGATTTCAAATAAGGGTCCATAGTCTTAAAAGAACATTCTGATCCACTGTGGTATTTCTGAGTTCTTGGTAACAAAAAAAATTGCTGTATAATTTTTCCAGGGTAAAATAAGTGAAAATTGCGAGCTGGCACTTTCTTGAGGGGTGCCTTAAGTGTAAAAATGTTGAAAGCCACTGCTCTAACCCCTCTTTTACCCTGCTGCTTGACCCCTCCCCCCAATTCCTTCCAGATTTTGTCCTTGATTTATGGGTTATAGATGTGAGTTTCTTAGAGTACAAACTTTTAGACCAGTTTATTCAAGGGAAATGCCTATCCAAGAGAGTATGAGATAAATTAATTACTTGGAACTGTAAGACTCTTGGGTCATGCTCTCTCAACAAATTCAGGATTCCTTAAACATTCACATCACATTACAATAGCATTTTCAACAGTGATCAGTCCTTTAGGAAGGAGGGGTGGTCAACCTGCAGCATGTGCCACAAGTGGCATGGGCAGCCTCAGGAAGGGTGCAGGGATAACTGACTTGTGGTATGCCTGCCAAAAAAGCTCTCTTCCCAACCCCCCCCAGTAGGGAAATATAGCCAAGAACATTGATTAAATATACCATCTGCTAATCCATCATCCTCCAAAATTAGCTATTCTTTGTTCATTCAGATGGCAGTGGCATACAGTTATTGCTACTTGTTTTGTAACGGTTTTGGTTTTAATTTTAGTTTTAAATGTTCAGTGTGTACAAACTGTATTCCTAGCCTCCTTACAGCTTTGGGGATAATCCTTTTTGGCATGGATTTAGGAAGGTAGTGTGGATTTTTTTTTTGTTTTGAATCAGAGTGAATGTTCTGATTCAGTCTCTCTAGTCTGCCTTGAGACAGTAGAATTGCACGTCTAAATAACAGCAGGAAAAAACTACCTAAGGGATCTCCATACATATCAGTCCAGTGACACAGGACCACAGATTCTTTTATTTTTCTTCTCTTTGGCCTGATCCCACATGAGCAAGTACATCACTAAATTTTAGTTCTTTTGGATATTGGGAGACTTAATATTGTCTAGAGGTATCGTATTGTTCATCCTATGATAGCTGAACTCTTTCAAAATCCCAAAGGGAAGAAATACAGTATTTATATTAAAGCTTAAAAATGAGAATTGTTTTTTGTTCTGAAATGCCAGCAGTTAAAAGCTAGTTTAAAAGTTGCTGTTCATGTAACTGAGGCTTGCTAGGAAGATGGTTGTGTATATCTTGTGGTTGTCAGGACTGATGTACGTTGGTTTTTAAGTTGAGTTAGTATTTGCAAAGTTGTATTAAAGTGAGTTAAGGAGGGAAAATACAAAGTGTACAATTGCATTGAGGTTTTTCATGACGTTAAACATCTAAGCACCTTACCTTCTCCAATAAATTTAATGATCTACACCTGTGATGATTTATTATGATAATAGGGTGTGTGAGATGTCTAGTACACTATTTATTTTGGTTCAAGATATTTTCATCTTAAAAAGTTATACCAAATACATCTATAGAAAAGCAGCTTGCAGGACACTAATTATTGGACACAAATGTATATTTTAGAATAAAAGGAAAGCTTGTACTTAAGTGTCTTTTGTTTAATAATTCAAAGTAATTAATAAATAAAAGTAAGTCTTTTATTTTTTTTTCATTGATTTTTTTTTTTTTTTTTACCAGGAGATCATGACTGTGGCAGCCCTGTTCGGAGAAATCTTACCGTCCAGGATGCAGCTGTATATTTAAAAGTAAGCAGTGAAAAAGTATTTTCCATTAGTCTTAACTTTTTAAGTTTTGCATAAGCTAACATTAGTATTTGCTGCTGTGTAGCATAGCAGCAGAATTAAAGTTTGACTGTGTTCATCTTAATTTTATTCAAAATTTAACACTGTTTATGTGAACTACATGTACTTTTTTTCTGCTTTGGGCCTTGGGAGGAAGATGGTAAAACACTTTTGTAGGTAAGCCAGACCATGAATGCAAATTTAAAAAGGAAAGATGCTTGTCAAATGCTTAAATTACTTTTAGCATTCCATCTATGCATGAAATGTCAAAACAACCTAGAGGTAACACACAACATTAATCTTATGAATTATAAACTTGTGAAAGGACAGTTATCCAAGTTGTAGTTGACAGAAATGACTGTTTGGACTTCATTGTGTTGTTAACTGCTTGATGTTAGGAAGGAGAAGAGTCAAGTTCCCTTTTATATGAGGACTGATGACTTAAATTTACTGTATTCTTAGCAGGAGGTTTCTTGCTTTAGGTTCTGGAAAGTGGTCCTCTAAACCAGTGATTCTCAACCTTTTTTTGTACCAGGATCCATTTGTAAACATCAGTGACCAGTCCCGACCCAGTGACCCCCACTCCTGACCTGCTGCCCCCACCATTGTGGGGCAAGGGGTGTGTGGGGTTTGGGGGCTCTAAGCAGCCCCTTGCAAGCTGGAACTCTGCCAGCGTGCCAGGGAAAAGCCACACTTTCTCACATTTTTCTCCTTTAAAGTAGAATCCATTTTTAAAGCATGTCCACAACCCTTTCATATATTTGTGCAGCCCACTTTTGGGTCCTTACCCACGGGTTGAGAAATGCTGCTTTAAACAGTGGTCACTATAAGCTTTTTTTTAGTCTCTGCAAAGAGGGGTATGAGGGAGTGAACTTTAGAGATCAGATGCTGGAACCTGGGCAAAGGGATAGTCAGTCAGTGTCACTAACATGTAGTGCAGGTACTTGCATCTTTGCTTACTTGTGCTGTTGTAGTAGAAAGACTGGTATAATAGTGAAATGTATGTGAATTCAATTACATTTTAAATGTGTAATATACTAGCAATATAAATCAGTCTTGTCTTTTGGAAAATACAAGCATCACAGCTTATCTTGTGACAAAGTTTATATGTAGGTTTACCTCTAGTTTGGGTTTTAATTTTAAAGAAAGATTATCTCCCCCTAGTGTCTTTATTAATGTTAGTGTAAAAAATATTAATGTGCGAGGAAGTGGCATGTTTCTCACTAGCCTTGCTTATAGTCTGTGTGAACTTGGAGCTCTTTTTAGCCAAGTACAGATGTTCAGAAAGCCCACGGCAGAAGTGATCTAAATATTGCACTTTACTCAAGTCTCTAGATTAGGTGTAAAGTGAAAAGAACAGACGTTTGCTGTTTATGGGGAGAGGGGAGGGCTTGGAGCCTGCCTGCACTGGTGGAGGCCAGCAGGCTGTGGGAGCTCTTGCATGCCTTCCAGAGGCTGCTGGAGAATGCCCAGCAGCTAGCCACCTCTGAATAGCTATTGCAGCACCTCTCCTGAGCCCTGCATCCCTGCCAGTTGGCTGCTGTCAGTGCTGGTGGCTGGGGGTGGTCAGGGGAATGCCCATGCTGGGCAGCCCACCTCCCACCTTGCTGGTTTGCGTCTTAAGGGGAGGGACAGATCAGGCCCACAAGGCAAGGGGGCTGTTTCCCTTCTCCTCCCCAGCTTCTTGATGGCTGCAGCTTGGAGCCACATGTGGCTTTTCACTGCACTGGGAACTAGGGATGGGTGGGCAGGGGAATGGAGTCCCCCTGCCATGAACTCCACCCTCCCCAGCTCGCTGGCTTGGATCTGCAGGGGGGCTCTGCTCTCTTCCCCTTCCTGCCTCCACTTCCAAGCACAGTGAAAAGCGTTGCACAGCTCCTAAGCTGTGGCTGTCAGGAGACTGAGGCAGGCAGGAGCAGGGTGGAGACAGCCCCCCCTGCTGTGTGGACCCTATCCAGCCCCTTTGCCACAACCAGAGCCAGAAAGCTGGGGGTGAGGGAGCTGGGTCATGTGGTGAAGGGACTCTGTGCCCCCACTGCATCCATCTGAACAGCAAGGAGATGGAGCCTTTTCTGTCTCTTTTCTGTGACAGGCCAGGGTGTGGGGCTGAGGTAGTGCTTACCTGGAGCAGATGAGCACTGGCCAAGGCTAGCGGGCTGCCCAGCTACGGGCCCCTGGCATGCAAGTGGAATGTGTTCTACCTTAATTTGCAATGGGATCTGGTACAGATGTTCATTAAAGCACTTTTAGTCTGATACCACATCCGTCCAAAGTTAACTTAAAGTAGGACCTACCATTTTTAAAGCACTCTGTGCCGTGAATG